TACTCAAACGATCTACTAACACTCAATTGACCTGTTTAAACTATTCAATTAAATTCTTTTTACTTAGTCATAATTTATATTCTCGATAATATCAGAAGACGTACATTTAAATTTTACACAAAAATGACAAATCTACAGACAAAGAGATAAAAAGGACTGATATGGACGTATATGAACTGAAAAATATTTTAAGGACATTGTCCATGGCCCAGAGCATTTTATTCGGTATATACCCAAGGTTTATTTCGTACATAAATATTTAATCATCTTTGAGATCAGACAAGAGAGGTTTCAAGAAAGTATCGACCTGACTTATTTAATTTCAAAATTGTTTTAAATGTAACTTGAAGATTGTACAAAATGACACTCAAATCGGCTAGTGTGACGATAAACACTAAAACGTCGTGTAGATTGAGAGGTTGATGTGTGGTATGGAGTTTGTTTGCATGACGTCTGGGTCTAGAGAAACCTTAACACAAAAATCTATGTTTTATGATTCAAGTTTTGTTGATACAGAAAAAGTGGATTACGTAATAATTGTCTAACGAGAAAGTATAGTGTGTGGTCGTGACTATCGCCACCACTTCTCGTCATGTGCAGTCTAAATTGATCTTCCCCATATATTTCCTTCGTACGCATCTACAAATAGTTAATTAAACTTACAAAGCCGCGGTATCGAATGACTAAGAGCTTTCAGGACGCCACTTTCTTGAGGAAAATGGCCACGTGGATCTTTCTCAATATTTGAAATATATATATCAGAGTTTGCTAAGCCATATTTTGCCTAATCGGCAACATGTTATTTTGGTATATATTCAATTTATTTTATGTGTTTATATAAAAATTGCCCTTTGCGCTATCATTTTAACAATCAGTCGATAAGAGAGGGCATGGAAATAGTAGACCTTTTATTTAGAACTACTATCTGATCTTGATCTTACTAAACAGTCTACTTAAAAAGATCTTATCTTTAAGAATAAATAAACATTAACCTGACCTTAATAATCGATGTTGACCTGTAACATGGTTCACAGGGCTTTCGTATTCACAACAATAGGATTCCTATACCGTGTCTCGTAGATTAAATATGGCTGGATGTTCCACACTGAACTACTACAACTCATGAACAGGAGGCCGAAGGGGCCTGCATCGCTCACCGTGTTGATCTATGTATTCGGCCATTTCATAAACAAGTTCAATAATGACAAACCTCAATCAGAGGTCAGATTCGTTATTCGTAAAAACTACTTAGACCAAACTTAGACAATATCCTTGTATGGAAGAAGGATTTTTAAGAGCTTACATCTTCCCAATTAGGCCATCTCTCCCCCTAGGGACCCGGATGTACCGTTTATACAGAACGTATTCCCTTTTACTTAAGAATACTTCAGACTAAGTCTAGGCAATATTCATTCATTCCTACGTCCGTTTACCCTTCTAAAGTCTAATGTTGGTAGATTTAGTTTCTCCAGTCTCTGACTGTAGCTGAGGTTACTCCCTATATCCTATCGATGTGCCTTTTTATGTGGTGCCCATACGGGGCTCGCGTAAACCATAAGAGCGTACAAGGCATTTGTATAAAGGAATGAAAAAAAACTATGATCGTTAAACTGGAATACTCTCCTGAAAAGAGCAAATATGGAGCTAGCTTTTTCTTTAAATTTTTCACTTACGTGATTTTCAGAGAATAAGCTGAAATGAATTATAACACCAATACCCTTCTCCTGTGTTACTGTCTGTAGGTGTACCCCTTTGAGGTGATATGTTGTACCGAAGTTTTCCTGTCCTCGAGCAGTCTCAGTATCTCGTGTGTTTGAATTTGTCCGGGTGCATTTTAGGTAGCCATGTGTCACTCCATTTATACACTGTATCTAGATCGTTCAAGAGGCTTTCACTATCTACCCTGCTTTTTTTAACAATTTTGAAAATCTTGGTGTCATCTGCAGAAAGGTACCTTTCCGACTGGACTGAGCTCGGAAGATCAATAACAAATAAAAATAATGGCGTCTTTTGTCGTGTCATCCATGGGAAAACTGTTCTTAATGTTTCTTCCTATTGCAATAATCTTTGTTGGCACATGGTTTTCTTCTACTTCTTTTAGTATATGCCTGAAATTGACCCAGTTTTCATTGATGCTGTTAGAATTATCCATAACGTCGTTCCATTTTATTTTCCTTAACTCTAATTGCTGCATAGTTTGCTTTCTTGTAACAGATTTCTATACTGTAAATTAACTTTATACTGCATGTAACATTAAACATTAAGACGCAGTGATCGCTCTTGCCGAGTGCGTTTTGGTAGTCGATTCTTGATAGCCAGTTTTCATCATTAGTTATTACTAGATCTAAAATGTTAGGATTGTCTCCTCCTTCAAAAACTTTGTAATTTGCTATTTTCCGCGGTCAATTAATTACCTATTGTTATCGTGATGCCCACCTTACGGTATACTGTCACTTTATATACAACAAGAACGCACAAGAACAGTTAAATGTTTATTACACTAAAGAAAATAGACAAGCTACGGTTTAGCGTAACAGGGGCTACTCACTCTATTCATAATCACTATTAACTACTAGAAAATTATAACTTAAAACTAGACTCTGAGCTGTTTCGGAGCTAGATTAAGAGTCCCTACAGAGAAGTTACTAGACCCTGGACGATACCAGAGAAGCTACTAGACTCTGCAAGTGGCCCTAGAAAAACAGCATTATAAATAGAATATTCACCACCAGCTAGACCCTCAACGATATGAGAGAAGCTGAAAATGTTAGCTAGACCCTCAACGATATGAGAGAAGCTGAAACAAATTGGGAATATTCTATTATTATGAATTGGGGGTAAAATTCCCCAAGAATTAAGTGCCAAAATGAACGCATGTTTAACAGAGTGATAACACCCAGGTAAAAACAAATATTAATAAGAAACTGATAAATGCAGAAGATCCTTAAGTTACTAAGAGTGAGTAGCCCATTATACATAAAAATATGGTTATCTTATAACTGTTGCACATGAAACAAAAACAAAAAATACATGAGTATAAAATAAAACCAATGGTGTAGCCGGGGACGGTGGGTGGGAATGCACAAATTTCGCAAACAAATGCCTCCACCAAAAACTCAAACTATATGCTGCGGGGCCTTCAGATCCCTAACAGGGCATCCTCCCCGAGAACGCTGATTGGTCAATTAATTAGCATCAACCAGAACTCATCAGCATACATAAATAAACAAAATTATAATGCCTGCAGGGCAAGGAAAATCACTAACACTAATACATAATGAAAATCTTAATTGAAAATTGCTATGTCAGCTAGCAAGGAGAACTTATTGTATATAAACTATAATTTAATAACAATATTAAATTATCATTTTATATACAACAAGAACGCACAAGAACAGTTAAATGTTTATTACACTAAAGAAAATAGACAAGCTACGGTTTGGCGTAACAGGGGCTACTCACTCTATTCATAATCACTATTAACTACTAGAAAATTATAACTTAAAACTAGACTCTGAGCTGTTTCGGAGCTAGATTAAGAGTCCCTACAGAGAAGTTACTAGACCCTGGACGATACCAGAGAAGCTACTAGACTCTGCAAGTGGCCCTAGAAAAACAGCATTATAAATAGAATATTCACCACCAGCTAGACCCTCAACGATATGAGAGAAGCTGAAAATGTTAGCTAGACCCTCAACGATATGAGAGAAGCTGAAACAAATTGGGAATATTCTATTATTATGAATTGGGGGTAAAATTCCCCAAGAATTAAGAGCCAAAAATGAACGTATGTTTTAACAGAGTGATAACACGCAGGTAAAACAGAGTGAGAGCCCCCAAGAGATAATAATAGATATTAAAATAAGCATAGTAAAATGCAACGCAAGGTTATAGGCCTAATTTAAACTCATAGTATGCTTAATAATACAAGTAGATTGAAATGACAAGAACTATAGACCTAGACCAACTCATGAGAAAATAAAGGCCAAGACAAGTAATAGTTAATCCCTAAAAAACCCATCCCCACCCTATTCAGGAGGACATAACCTGTTGAGCCCGACGGATAGTAGCAGGATTGATCCGTATATAGCGTATGAAACAGTCAGATGACCATCTACCTAAAGTTTGAATGACATGGTCTTCCACTCCAGCTGCTGCAGCAGAGGTACTAGCGCCAATACGGAAAGAATGGCCATTGAAAGATTTGTTATTTATACCAACCCTAGACAAAGTCTCCTTTAAATACGAAATAAATGTATGACGCATTAAGGGTGTAGATGAATGGATATGATCTAAAAATAAAGGAGAAGAAAGAGTGGCACCTGAGGATAGTCTTAGGTTTAAGTATTCTCTCATAGTGGACACAGGTGTAAAAACACTATTTTCAAAAATACTGATATTTACCCCTTTACCAAAAGGGTCTGTTTTGGATGAACGCAGCGTGAGATTGAAACACGATAAATCTGGTAGTACACTAATATCGCAAATACGAATAAAATTGGTATCCCACACAGCATTACATGTAAACTCACCACAGCGTAAAAAACCAAAGAAAGCAGTTTTATAAATACATACCAACATGAGATCAACAAATGGGTTAAACATACCCTGTTGAGCAATAGCGTTACACATATAAGCTAAGATTGCACAAGTAATAGGGAGACGTTTGACAGAAGTGTTAACTTGAGTCTTCTTAACAGCGCGCAAGATATAAGACAATCGTAGAGTGTTGGCGGTAGGGTCCCCCAACTTATTCTTAATGTAGTGAAATCTAATACCAGCTAGGTATAGTTTGATAGTGTCAAATTTAAGGTGCAAAGACTTCTGGCAGTGTGTCACGAAACGAATAAGCACATCCTCATCCACTGCAGGCAACGTGTTGGCAGGAAAACTTGTGCCCTGCATAAGGATGAAAGTTAATAAACAGTTAAGTCCCGACTGGTACGAAGCTCTTGTACGTTGGCTTAAAGCAGAGTCCCACAATGAGTCCACGTGCAGGCTTAAGTCATCATAATTGACACCATTGGGAGGCAAGGAACAGGATGAAGGTCTGCCTGAGGAGCCAGTTTCCGAAACCTTGACATCTGTGAACGGGAGATAGCGTCAGCAATATTATTATCAGATCCAGGTATATGCCGAGCATGCACAATAAAATTGTACATAGCTGAATGAAAAGTTAAAGTTCTAACTAGTCTCATAATGCTCTTAACCTTAGACCTTCCTTTAGTAATAATGTCGACAGTTGCCATATTGTCACAATGAAACAAAACACGCTTTTTGCACCACTGATGGCCCCATAACACACACGCCATAACGATGGGGTATAATTCGAACAAGGCCATTGAAGGTTCAGAACGCTGGAGTTCAGCAGGGAAAACACCTTGGAACCACTGATTTTTATAAATACCACCAAAAGCTACATTAGTAGCATCTGTAAACAGGTGGAGGTCAGCTGCACTAGTCACATGATCATCAAGGAAAAAAGAAGCACCATTCCAGTTCCTCAAAAACAAAGCCCACATGTTTAGGTCCGAACGACATTCCGCATTTAATTTAACATGAAAATGAAGTTCGCGCGCAGAAGTTGAAAGTGAAATGAGGTGCGAGACAAACGATCTTCCTGGTTTAACACAACGTGTGGCGAAATTCATGTGTCCTAATAAGCTTAGTAGCTCGCGTTTCGTGCAGCATTTCCTATTAGCAAAAGACTCTAGCACACATATGATACGAGATACTTTCTCAGCTGGAAGTCTACATTCCATACGAGTAGAGTCCAAAAACACCCCCAAGTATTCTAAACAGGTAACTGGACCCACTGTTTTGTGTGCTCCAATAGGAATATTGAGATCTTGAAACACTTTAAGGAAGCTGGACATTGTTCTAGTAGCGATAGCGGATGCCGGCTCAATAACGAGGAAATCATCCAGAAGGTGCAGGATGTGCTGAATGTTATATTTGTTCTGAGCTATCCAGCAGATGGCACGGGAGAGATTGTCGAAAAGTTTAGGACTTGAGCGACTCCCGAAAACCAGCCTAGTGAAAAAGTAATATTTTCCATCCCAACATATACCGTGATAGGGCCACAGTTCTGGCTTAATTGGGAGTAATTTAAAAGCGTCCGTGATGTCGGTTTTCATAAGCCAGGCATTCTGATGTAATTCCTTGATAACCCTAATAGCGTCGTCAATAGAAGTGTATTTAAGAGAGCAAGTTATCTTATCTATCAAACTGTTTAGGCTAGGATTGTTCACATCTTGATGGGGTGCCGACATGTCAACTATGAGGCGTTTTTTCTTTGAATATTTGTGCTCCGCAAGGCCAATAGGGTTGATTCGGTAGTTTTTGTATGGGATATGATCAAAAGGACCCAGGAGGTATCCTCTGACTACTTCCTTGTTGACTAAATCTGTCACGCTTTCATGATCCGCCAGAGCTGATTTCAGATTGGAACACTCAAACGAGTTTAATGGTAGGAACTGGAAACCGGTGTCAAAACCAAAAGTTAAGCCATCTAATAAAAAGTTCACAAAATTTTCATCTGGGTGGCCGTCTAAAGCTGTTTTTAAAGCTGTTAAGTTAATAGGTGTAGAAGCTCTCGGGTGGAATAACATATTCATTTTTTCTTGTTCAAAGTCCTGGTGAGCTCTAAAGGGCAGGCAGATTTGGAGTGGCTGCCTTTGCAGGACAAACAGACATGTTTGTAAGAACAGGAAGATGAGTTGCATCCAAAATTACTATTAAAGTTATTGCATAATTCTATACCATCTTGGTACACGCGAGGGCGCCCATGACTGTCAACAGAAGGGGGACCGGTAGGACGGGAAGTAGATCCCTGCTTTGAACTCCTAAAATTTCCACTATGGGTCCCTTGACGTTTGGGTTCTACCACAGAAGTAGGACAGAAACCTGTTCCATGCAAAGGACTGTCGCACAAGTCACAGGTGAGTGGTCGTTGGTTTGTGAAAATGTTACAAAATAAAACATTGTTCCTAACTGACCAATCTATGGGTGTGTTGTTGTAGCGGAGCTGTGCTGCGGCTCTAGCTGAAAATTGTCTGTGGTACTCATAGAAACCGACATTGTACCTGGTACCCATGTCTACTATATCTCTTTCGTATAGATCGAGTTCAACACGTCTAGCAGGATAGACAGAGCACATCACCTGCTTATACACTCCGAATGCCAAGATGAATTCATTCAACGACAAGGTGCGTGAAAGTCTACAATCGGGTTTTGAAGAAGAATGGCACTCAGGGTCAGAGCTACCTACGTAATACGGGATACGCAAGGCGGCCAGGTTAACATCTCTACCCGTAATGATTTGTTGACGCAGCGCGGGAGATACAGTTTCTACCAATGGTAAAGATTCCGACACATAGCCAAAACGTGATCGTTTGGAAGAATTCTCACCTTGAGATAGTGTGCTGTCCTCCTGAAAACGCTTGTAAGCTGTTTCTAAAGTGTACTCAGCCTGTAGTGGTGTTGGAACCAGCTGCACTGATGGCGAATTTATCACTGCTGGAACTGGTCGAGACGAGTCAACTACGGGCTGATTTTCACTACCGGCGGCTGCCGCCACTGGACGTCTTGTTTGCGATTCCAACCTGCTCTCTAGACGTTGGTAGCAGTTCTGCAGCGTAGCAACACTTTCTGTCAAGTTTGTAACAATGTCAATTAGGTGCTGATTGACATCGTTAGGTCTGGAGCTCTCCCGTTCACGTGAATTTACGTGGGGGCCGCCATCTTGTCGCGAGGTATCATGGGATACCGCACCTTCCCGATGATGTACGACGGGGTTAGCCGCTCTCACTTCCGTAACAGGGACGCTGGCTGTCCTGGCTTCGCGCAGCATCCTCACCAAACTTCTGCGTTTGCATCCAGTGCGGAACGGAACGTTTAGGGCGCGCAGTTCCTCTTGTAGCCTGGCGATCGTCCAGTTATCTAGAAGCTCGGGATCGTAGGGCGCAGATCGAATGTTCTTGCGTTTGGGTCCCATAACTAGTCGGAGTTGACACACACAAAATAAAAACGTAAACACAATCAATAGCCGTAAGCTAAGGGTTTATAACGTCAAGAACACCAAATCTCGTTGTCGAGCGTGAATGCGGAAATACGTCACACCACAAGAACTTGTGGAAGAGGTCCTTTTTAACTAGTCCTACGTGAAAACACACACGTATCCAAAATGGCGAATGCCAGAACCCAGTCTCTCAGCACTCCTCGAAGGATTAAATGTCAAAAGAAAAGTTACAAAGTAAACTCCGTCACTATTAGGTTGACTAATCACATCCTTAAGCCACTTTATAAAGGTATATCCATAAGGGTAAGGTAGGAACGTATGCAAAGTGTTAATAAACGAAAGATAATGCACAAATTTCGCAAACAAATGCCTCCACCAAAAACTCAAACTATATGCTGCGGGGCCTTCAGATCCCTAACAGGGCATCCTCCCCGAGAACGCTGATTGGTCAATTAATTAGCATCAACCAGAACTCATCAGCATACATAAATAAACAAAATTATAATGCCTGCAGGGCAAGGAAAATCACTAACACTAATACATAATGAAAATCTTAATTGAAAATTGCTATGTCAGCTAGCAAGGAGAACTTATTGTATATAAACTATAATTTAATAACAATATTAAATTATCATTTAAATACGCTGACCGAAATACCGTTATCATGAGGGGCAGCTCTGCAGTATCTAAGAAACGTGAATTCTGTTTACCTTTCAATATCAGCATTAAAGTACGGAAGCTAAGATGGATACAGGTAAGAAAATAAACAATATTTCACAAGCAGCGTTCATGGTTCGCTAGGATCAAAGACACGTAACAATTAACGTACATGAAGACTACAAAATTGATATCAACCCATCCCGACATCAGTCTGCAGTTAAATTACTTCCCAATTTGCCTTTTTCCAGTTTACCGATCATTATCTAAGTCTTTGATGTTTACTTTGCGTTGTATTCATTTGATCATAATGTCGACTTGCTTAATTATATATACACTTATCAACACTTTATAAACAACTGTTGCTTTCTTCACTTTTAATTTTCATTTTACGACAAGAGATCCCACAAGGGTCTTTGCGTCCACATTATTAAGTCATTAGATGTTAGATATTTTTATTTCGATTTTCTTCATTTCTTCTTCTTCTTCTTTTTTTTTTAGATTGTATTCTATGAAATGTGAACATTCCTTTCTAGAAACAGAGATATTAATCTTTAACTATCAAACTCAAGATAATTGACTGTCGGCAATTGTGTTCCTCTGGTCAGTCCTAAAATCAGAAAGGCACAATTAGGGAACCAACAATGTACATACATAGATGATATTTTAAAAAAGATTCAGTACTTCTCAAGAAATACTGAGGACAATATCTAACAGTCAAAATCCAACATGGCAGCCTTTCAGCCATTTTGCGTTTTTTAATCAAACCAAAAAACAAAAGAGCAGAACTAGTGAACAGTAGAACCTATATATAGAATATCTACCGTTTGTTTACGACGAAAAGCGAATTTTCTAAGACAAAATTCGACATGGCAATCTTTCAGTCATTTTCCTTTTCTGGCCTTTTTTAAAAAACAACAGGGCACAATTAAGGAACAAAGAAAACTTGTGGATGAAATATTAGAAAGGGCTCAACTAGGGAACAAAGAAAACTTGTGGATAGATCATAGATCTATCCAGCACTTCCGAAGAAATTACGATAACGAATTTCCAAAGCCAAAATCAAGATGGCCACCTTTTAGCCATTTTTTCTGATCATATTCATTATCACAAGGGCACAACTAGGGACCAAAAAGGAGTCCACATATCAAACTGAGAATGATCACCATTTCTTTCAAAATACAAGATGGCCGCCAAACGACCATTTTTTTTTTTTTTTTTTTTTGTCTGTCCCAAAATGGCGCAATGCATCACTAAGAACAAGGCAAATGTGGAATTTTGAAATTATCCATCCGATACTTCTCAAGTCATTGCGATAATAAAGATTATTTAAGGACACACGGACGGACCACGGACAATGGACGAATGACTGTTTGAACAGTCTGCCAGTTAACGATCTGGTGGTGGTGGCAAAAGGTCAAACAACATGAGATCAAAAAATAAAAGGGAACAATTTTCAGGCCAGCTTTTTTATAATGCAAAATCGTATTTAGGTGTTGTTAACGTAAAACATGTAAACAGATCTTGATTTGGGACAGATATATATGACAAAACACCATAGAAGGAAATTCTATGTGGGCACGGTCAAGGGTACTGTGTAGAAATGTAGATATTGTTAATGTCGGCGTAGTTATTGAAGTACCCATTACAGATAATGTATATCAAGATCTAATATATATATATATATATATATATATATAAAACATATTTTGAGTGAAAAATACTATCAGTTCTCCCTTCTCACGAGTTACAACCAGTGTCGCTATACTAGTATTACTTATATGTGTATATTGCGTTGTGAATTCGTGCCAAATCTCTATAATACCGCGAGGCGGTTCAATGTTTTGTTAATTACCAGATACCGTGTTTCTTTTTTAAAACCATGTGAACATTTTTGCATCCAGACAATGCTAAGATCAAGGTTGGAGATATGGTATTACCTAGTATGCTGTATGGGTAAGTGTATTTATCTCTCTCGGAACGAGTCTTTGTATCCACGTAACGATGACAAAGCATTGCGGTTTAGGAAGGAGATAAACCCTCCTCATATTACCCATTTTGCATTTCTGACTCGTCACCCGCACAGTCTATACAGTTGAATGGTTTTTTATTACGAGGGTACATCTGTACTTTGAGGTCGGTCATTGACACCAAGCTGTAACCAGCCGACCAACCTGACCTACCTATAAATAAATAAACAGCACAGATGGCTCTAAAAGTGTCATGACGTAGTAATGTGAAATTTCATCTGGTTTTTTTAAACATTAAAGAAGTAAGACTCCTGGGAAATTTATCTACGTCACAAACAAGTTAATGGAATATTTAATGGAATGGACATTTGTCCATAATTACATATTGCATCCTGATTGGTCAATAACCTTAAGTTGAAAGCTGAAATCTTGAAACCTACGTAACGATACAGTATTGTGAGGAAAGAATGTATACATGGCCTGGATAAAAATGCTAATATACCGATTTGTTTTAAAAATTTTAAACACGTACAAAAATCATAACTTTATATAGATAATTGAAGAAATGGCATCATCATCATGAACTGAAATTGATATAATCGCCCAAACATTCACAATCGTGAGATGCTTCAGAGAGAAGGGGAGAGAGAGAGGGAGGGGGTGGTTCGGAAAGGGAGTTGGCAGGAGAACGAGAGGGTCATTTATTCAAGAAAAAAATCTAAAGCGTAGATGTGAAGTTAAGCTGCAATACAACGTTGACTGTTCATCCGGGAATTTAGTAATTGCGTATATGCTTTATTTTTTCCTAAAGAACGAACAAAGATCAATAAGATTCGACAAAGATATGCTGTCCTTGTCTAAAACTTAAACATGTTTAAGGTAAAACACCACCAGATATGTAAAGATATGCAGTGTAATTGCTTACAACCACTTTTAGATATGTCTGAACAAAACATTTGAAAATAACACT